AGACATCCTACAAGGATGACAAGGAAGTTATCCTCACACAGCTACTTCAGAAAGTCCACATCCTAACTGATACTTGCATGTTGCTCCATGTATCTAACACTGTACAACATGGCCACCACTAGATACTCATTTTTACTGTTGACACCGATGTCATCTAGGTTGTGTATGCTATAAGCAACAAATAACTGTGAACATGATTAGCAGAGTGAGAATTGGCAAGAGTTCCTTGTGACTTTTCTAGAAATATTTTTATGGTAACTGTTATTTTATGGTAGCTAGACTTTATGAATTTATGCACAGTACCAGATTGGTGTCAATGACTCATCATTTTACACTTGAAATGGCTAGATGAAACCAGAAGTTCTATGCTAACAGTTTCTTCTCTCACACTTCTTGCTTGTGGAATTCTCTTTTGGCTTCTTGCTTCCCCATCAACTCTGTTAATTAACTTCTCTGTCTACTTAATTCCTGTTTTTATTGTTCTCTCCTTAATAATGTTTTCTTTTTCTCATATTCTCTCACACAGTAACCCCTTGCATCTTTGTCACTTTATTGCTTTGCTTGGAGTGAAATGGTAAAAAAAAAAAAAGAGCTTTCACTTTGTTTCCAATGTACTTTGCTTTGACAGGCTGCAACACTGTATCTATCTTTACTGGATCTACAAGGTGACATGAAAGCCAGAACTGACAAAAGCACAATTGATTCTGGTAAGTGAACCAAGAGATCTCAGATGATGATTTTTGATATGTTTGTCAGATTTCCTTTTGATAGAAATAATGGCCCTCAATGTTGAATGTAAAATCAGATGTATGATTAATTTATTAATTTCATGTAGGATGTAATTCGATTACCAGAGAGGAAACGAAGTACACATACCATTGCAGAGTTGTCTAGCTTATAATGTGGAAAGAACTACCATCTTTTATTTGGACATTTTAAAGAGATTCTGTCTGTTTGCCATTATGAACATTTGAACTTACAAGTTCATGAAACACAAATACTTGAACACCCAGTATCAGATAACTGCCTTTTATTGATTTTGTTTCTTTTATCCCATACTCTTTCTATATTTTGGTTGATTATTGTTATACAAAATTGTTTACAAACGTTCACCTTGTGCTGGTTGTTCATTGACACCTGTGTCGAGTATTCCTATTTTTTTTTTTTAACCTGGGGTTCGTATCTCTAAATTCATAACACTATTTAAGAGAGCTGTCTACCAGAGTGGTCACATATGGGGAAAGACATTTGCACAAGACTGTGCTTCTAACACCAACTTAATGTTCAGAGGAGAGAATATTAAAAAAATGTATGAACCCCCACTGTTTGACATTGCCACAAGCATCAAAAATTCTTCACTCTGCATCTTTGCAAGTGAATAGACCAGCGGATTAACATTTCTCATTTACTCAAACATTAAAGTGTCATGCAGTGGCTAATAGTAAATTTTCTTTGGTATAATGAACAATTAACATAATCAAGCTGGGTTAAAATAGTGTACAGAAATTACATTATCTTCTTTTAAACTAAATTAAGTATCATAGTTAATGGTTCCAGTATATTCACAGAACATTGTTACATGGCATGCGTTAATACGTAACTGTTTTCATTGCTGCTGAGGCTTAATAAAATCATTATTAAAACAATGAGAGAGAATCTCACCCTTTTGTTTTTTTTTTCTTTTATTACCTTATGTTGTAATAAAGCATATTTTTCCATTTAACTTTTATATAAATATTTGTGGTGCAGGAGACAAAGAAACATTAGCCTGTTGAACAAAAAATTATACGCCAGTAATGGCTGGCAGCCATGGTCATCAGAATGCCAATCTGCAATGGCCCAGCATCCAGTTTGTTTCTAAATATATTTTTCTATATATGTACCAAATTTGGCACTTGTATGGAAAATAGGTTTGTAATGCTGCTCTGCCAGAAATCAAAGTCAGTTGACTAAATGCTATCTTCTAACAGAACAATTAGTTATTTTCTAAGCAAGGATTAATTTGATACAAGTAGGAGCACTGAGTTAAGATCAAGTTTACTACCAAGTAACAGTCAATCAGACTAGCTTGCTAACTATTACCCTAGGTTAAAGCACACAAGAAAACAATTACAGTTGATCTGTAATACATTTTCAAATAAACTTGCAATATTCTATCTTAAGCCATTTCAATGCCCTGTCAGTTGCTTAATCTTACCATAAAAATAATACCTACACTTTCAGTTTAAAGTCATTTTTCATTACCACAAATGTGGAGGAAATGCATTAAAATAGGTAAGTTTTATCAGATTAATGCTATTTAGTTTGTCTGAAAAATATGATTATGAATGATTTCTTTATGCAAAACACTTATTGCACGGTCTTAGTTCAAAGCACTTCATCTTTTAGGTAAAAGAAAAATAAAACCACTAGATTTATTAAGTCAAATTTAATATTTGCCATTTTATTTTACTATCTTTTGGGCAACCTTATTTCAACATCTAAGGATATTTATTCTGTCTTAGCTAATTGTTTTAGGTGCCTTTTGCAATTTTTTACAGAATTTGATATTGTTTACAATAAGAGAATTCTGTAAAAACCAAGAGTATGTAATAATCAGGTGCAATATTTGGCGAATATGGCAGATAGGTGAAAACATCCCAGCTCTATCATTCTTAGTTACCAATGAAACATGCTATCATTGTTGTACTTGAATATTATGTACTTTCTTTTAGTTTATTACAGGTGGATGTGTTAAATTAATTGCTGACTTCAACTGCTCTGATTGAGAACAGTACTTTTTTGAAATGAGCCTAAAAGTTAAGACACTTGCTTTCAATGTAGCAATATAAACAACATTCTTTAGATGAAGACAGCAGTGGTCCCTTTTGATCATCACCAATTTCCTACATTCCACGTTTTTGTAAAGTTTTCACTTTTCACTACCTGTTACAATTACAGATAAAAATATGATCTAATATATTTTCTATCCATATAGAAGCCACACATTAAAATGACTAACATATTTAAGCTAGGGCAAATCCATCTTAGTATATTCAAAATATTGAAATCTAATCTGTCTGTCTTCTGCATATTATAACATTGATGGGTATTGATTAAGTAATTAAGGTGGGTTTTTTTTATTGGATTGCTAACAACATTAACTCATCTATGCAACCATCATGAATTGTTTAGGAGAGAAATCTTCAATATAGATGTGCTTTTAACACATTTCATTAACAGTACCTCTTCTAGAAACTATACAAATCACTTTTTTTGGCATTAATCACTTTATCCTTCTTTAAATATATGCCAAAAAATATTACCCTTCTAATACTAGAATCAATAAAACAAAAATACACCAAGTTAAATTAAAAATAGGTACAATATGAGAGCTATCATAATACAAGGAAAGTAATTTTTTAATGAATTTGAAACAAAACATGTCTAATGTGATTTAATGAAAATTTGACAGATTCATTTTTGTGTAACAAAATAAGTTGGGGAAAAATGTTTTGAAAATTAATGGCCTTATATACACTCAGTCAATTATTAATCTGATTTTTGACCTCCCATTGAGAATCATTGCCAACTTGACACTAAAATACCTAAATTCTCTCAACTACTATTTTTTCTTTGTATTCATTTTTTTTACTCAAGTAAAATCAGAGAAAAGAATGAATTAAAAATTGCAGACCATTTTTCAATTGTTTTCTATTAAGGTTAGAATCAGATAAATTGATTGACCAAACTTGTCTTTTCAAATTGCAATGACTTTTTTCAAAATCTTGTCTGCCATGTTCCTAGGATCAAATACTGAATTTCAAAGAGAATGGTAAGCAAGGCACAATTCCATCTAGTTTTCCATATATTTTCAAGGACAGTATTTTTTTTATATTTCAATCATATTTGAGAAATAATTAAAAAAAAAAAATCAAATAGAACAATGAAGTTCTTTTTTGACAAATGTAGGCAACTCATAAATCAAAGATCTGATGAAGTTACCAAATTTCAATTTTAACATTCTTACTGAATAGAACAATAATTTTAAAATTTATTTTTTTCATTCTTTTGTTGTAAATTTGAGTAATTTCTTTTAAAGAAAGATATACAAGTCAAGAAACGAAAAAATATTTTTCAGATTTGATTTAACATATATTCCCCTTTAATAATAAAATTACTGAAAATTAACTCCATTCCAAGTGGTAAAAGAATAAGTGGAAAAACAGGACCCTCAGATTATTACATAGATGTACAATTGTTTTGTACAAGTATAGCATAATAAAATTGCTTTCCACTTTATAAACAAGCAATAATGTGACAATAAATCCTTTAAGAATATCAGCTACTAAAAAGATTTTATATGCATTAGAAAAAAAATGTAATTTCTTGATATTCTCAATATTGCCCTTTCCAGAACACTAAGAAAATTGGCACAATGTTGCAATAAGAAGCAACAAGGACTAGTAATAAGATGATAGTAAAACAATTTAATTTAATGACAAACAAAAAGTTAATGAACATTGAACATTTTACAACTAAATATAATACTGTAAATTTTCATTGACAAAGATGCATAAAAATTGATCACTGAATAAATTATTTTGAAGAAATATTTTCTCACACTTTGTATGGGCAGAACAATATTATTTTTCTATAGTGAAATGATAGTGAAAATGAAATCATCAATTTTACAAGAAATAGAAATGAACTCCTATATTTTGGCTGCTTATGTATTTCCTTCGAGGTTTTCATCTCTATTTTAGATGTCAATTATATTTTTATTCAACAGAATAACTTGTCATAAACAACAAAAAAGTGTTCAGCTTTTAATAGTTTATTACATATATACAGAACTATCCTGAAAATGAATGAAAACCCAATTTATCTTTCTTTTTAAATGGTTTTAAAAGTGCAAATAGAAAAATCTCCGTCTCTCATCCCACTAATTACACTTGGAGTAACAAACTCTCTTGATAAGGGCAATTTGCTGCAGCTAATGACACTAAATAAGGAAAACATTATTTTCTGTACCACATTTGTAAAGTATTCATACGCTTGATTTTCTTTTGTAGTTGAAGAATACCATAAAGCAGGGCCTCAGCAGTTGGTGGGCAACCTGAAATGAAAACAAAAACATGTATTACAAGCTACAATTAGTCATATGCATTTTGAAATGTGTGACATGATGAAAACAGGTGAAGAATTCACAACCTCATACACATGTGAAAACTAATCTTTCACATTTTATTCTATTCACATTAAGGCTTATTGAGAAACTAAATTGTTTCTTTCAGTTGTTGTCTGAATTTTATTAGACAGGCTATGTTAAACTTTACATATAACTTAATTCACACTAATTTCATTGTCTTTGCTGTGTGAGTGAAGAAACAGGTCTCCCACTTACAAAGATGTAGTGGCATTAGTAGTGTAGTAATAAAACTGTTTCCCCACATTTAAAAAAAAAAAAAAAAAAAAATTAGCATAAAACCACATGCAATGCTTGTTTCAGTTTCTGTTACTTTCAAAATTAGTTTAGTTAATTGGTTATTTCAATGACTTAATTTGTTTGTTAATTCTTTGTTACTTTGAGTGGCTGATAAAAAGCTGCAGGTCAGGGTTAGTTGTTTTTCATTACTATGAGTGTGTTGCTCGGAATTCTTCAGAAGTTTCTGTGATGTCACTCACAGTATTTATACTGAATAATAATTACAATAATAAAAGTTTTGTTTGGAGCTGCTTACAAGTTCCAAATAAATCCTTTTCCTATTAATATTTTAACGCTTTAAAAAAAGAAAATTTTAGATACATTTTTTATTAGAAGCAAAACTTGTCAAACATAAAAATAAGGATCTTTATAGATTTACTTTTCACAGGATTCAAAAATTTAAATTCAGTCTTAGGTTCTCTGGTTTAATTGTAATTAAATCAAATATTGTACACTCAATACTTTAGATTTTTCTTAGAAGGAAACAACTTTTTTTCGTTGTGACCATGAGAAGTTGTATAGCTCAATGGTACACCTAAAGTAATGTGACAATTGCTACAAGGGATTTATTCTTATAATCTATTCGTCTAAATGACTGTCTTGTAAGTAGACATTTCTTGTATCATGGATAAGTTCATGCTGTTGTCTGCATCAACACTTGATATCAAATATCAGTTGATAATTTATATTACAGAGAAAAGAGATGGGAGTCATATTTTAAATACTGTGCAGTGAAAGTGGGTTTATAGTGTACATCAGGGCAATTTTTTCAGGACATCCAGGAAAGCAAATTTGCTATTTTCTTCCTTTTCATGAGGCACAACATGGAAGGTCTAATAGAGCACGAGGGTAGGTTGACATTGGAATCATTTCAATTTGAAAGTTGGGGTTTGACCTGAAAAATAATGACACTAAGTATTTTTTTCCAAATTTCTTGAGGAAATGAGTTTAAAAGAGTAAATTTAGGTTAAAAATTGGAGTTTTGCAATTTCATTCCAGTGATCAGTGAAAGATTTAACACTGTCAAAAAATTCCATACATTTATGAAAAACAAATGTATAAATGTCATTTATAAAATGTTTTCCAACTGCAACATTTGCCTGGTTCTCAATAAATCAAATAATAATAATAAAACAAAATGATAATATAAAAAATATGCACTTTATAGAGGGGAAAAAAAAAAAAAAAGAAAAAAAAAAAAAAAGAAAAAAGAAAAGAAAAGAAAAAAAAAAAGAAAAGAAAAAAAAAAGAAAAGATTATATACAATGTATACAAGTTGTAGTTGTAGCCAGCAATGAAAATTGGTTTCTTTTTTCCTTACATGGAAATTAGGTTTTGTTATTTTTCCGTGTAAAACAAAAAAACAAAACAAAACAAACACCATAAAACAGCATGAGAAACAAGAAATCCTTCATTTTAATTAACAGTAGTAAAATAAATATATTTTGTTTATGAATCTTGTCCGGGAATTTTTTTTCGATGGGTATCATCTAAGTTTTCACCGTTATAAAAGTCTGCCATTATTAGTAAATATGATATTGAAATCTCAACCACTGTTCACCTGTCACTGTAAAAATTAATTAGTTCTGTATTTTTATGCAACAGGCTTAATTATTTGAAAAGTAAACATTTTGTTTAATCTACATAATTTTGTATTTTCAAAGTCACTGGCATTTATTCAAAATGTGTTTGTTTATTTCGGTAGAATAAACTATATTTATAACAAAATAATACTTTTTATTTCTTTCCATTTTCCTTATTTCAAATTTACGTTTGAAATTTTATTAAAATAGGGTAATGTTTGCACTTGTCCATCCCAAGTTAACGTTAATTCTATGCTTGTTTTTTTTTTTTTTTTTCTTTTACTTAATTTGTTTAAATGGAACTAATAATAAAAATGTAACACTATCTGGGGTGATGGTAATTAATAAAGGCCTGGAATATCAATGAAAACAAGATATTGATGAATAAACTATCATGGAAAGGGTTAAATGAATATCAAGAACGATAGACTGAAAACAATTGATTCCCAGAGAATCGAGGTTTATAAAATGAACCAGGTGATCAGCTGAGAGCAATGCTTGGTTTGTATGATGGGCCAAGTGTTAACAGTATTTGACAGACAACACCTGTGAAATCGACATGAGGAGAATTGGATTAAATGCCAGTTACAAATAAAATCTTTTTGCAGAAATGCCAGGATTGAAAACAATGAGCTGAAGACCTGCATGAGCTGAATGAATTGTCACCACAATGTGAGTTGCAAAATTTTCCCTGGGAAAGTGTCTCTTGGGTCAAAGGTGAGAAAGTCAATTGTTTGTGTCAGTTGACTTATGAAGTGATAGCATTTGGAACAATCATTTTTTTAATTATTCTTCAACTGAATGGTGGATGACAGGCGCAGAAGAGTGATCAAGGAAGGAGGAGCTGCCTGCACCCACTGAAGGGTAGCAGGCACAGACGAGACATTAAGGAGGTTGAAGGAGCTGCCTACGCCCACTGGAGAGCACTGTTGGGAGATGGTGATAAGAAAAAGTAGAAGTAACCCAGTGGACTGATGCCTGCACCCATCTCCTTGAGAGAAGGAGAATTCCCCAAAATTATGAAGTTTAATTTCTCAAGACCAAATACAATGGAGATGACAGGTGGATGATATACCAATTCCCCTCAACTACATATCACCCCCTACACCAAGTTTTTGTTTTTTTTGGCAGACAAAAATGGCCTCTTGTTGGAAATCAGGGGGTTCATAGAAATCAAAAATACATCTTGCCCTGTACTAGTTTTGACTTGGAGTCTATAAATACAAATGTGCAGAGTGAATTCAGAGAGTTGGGTTTTGAGAGTTGAGAAGAGACAGAAGGGAAGTGGCAGAGGTCACTGAGAGATTCCATGACTCCTGCCAATCATGAGATCTTCCAACATCAGCCTAGAGCCAAACTTACCAAATCAGTAAAATAAATTTTGCAAACTCTGTAAGCCAAAACTTACCAGCTTACCCAAGTGTTGTGTCCGTTTTAAGAATGGGTTGGGTTGACAAACTCCTGTATGCTAAACATCTAGACTAACAACTACTAACAAACAATTGTATGCAGTATTTGATATAGAAATAGTAAATATTTTTTTTTATATATTCTGAGTGCTGTTTTTTCTTCAGTTTTACTGTATGACTTTGCTCAACTTGGACCAGCTCGAAGATACCTGAAACGAATCGATCTTGATCTTCTTATAAGCAATCAATTACAACATGGGGTAGGGTATGCCAGGATCAAAGAGATCACTCTATTGATCAAACCAGGATTCACCCCGGGCTGACCACAACAAAGGTGTTACAAAAATGCTGTCAAAAAATATCAAAAAGTGTAGCTGAAATAGAGAGATTAGACAGGCAGACTGAAAGACAGCAACAACAGGATTCTACATATGTTGCCTCTACACTGGATATTTTTCCACCAATGAAGAAAACTGATGACAGTTATGAGCCAGAGAAAAATTCTAAGGGACCTTACAGTTTTTTAAAAGTCCCTAGATATGCCATAGGACTTTTAAGGGTCATGTATCTTCCAACTTTGGGGCATGGCTTGTCTTTTTATTAGACCTACAAGATAGAGGCTTTCTTTTTCTAAGCCCTGACTTAAAGGACATTATCAGTGATGTCAAAAATAGAGAAGCAAAAAGCTAACGTAAAGTAACCACCCACCAGAAAAAAAATTCAGAACCATGAAAATATCGCCTGCATTGGTGTTAATTATAGAGTTGATAAGGAAACTTTACATTTCAGAGGAAAACGACAAAAAAAAGTAACAAAGCACCATTTAACTTTCATCCCTTGCCACAGAAAGTAGATATTGCTACCCACAGAGTTATTGCTAACATTGGTGCAACTGGGGTTATTCTAGTAGAGGATGTTGCTGATGTTTTAGAAGAATTCAACAGCACAAATTCCATTGAAGCAGCTCTTGTGGACAATACCAGCAGAAACACTGGTTGTGAAGCAGGGCTTGTTACAGCTCTGGAGAAATAGAACTTAAGAGGAGATTGCACACTATTGGCGGTTGACTTCATCAAAACGAATCTCCTTTTAAAGCATTTTTATGTACATTGATGGAACTACAAGAAAACATACTACTTTTAATGGTACCCTAGGAAAACTTTGCAGAAATGATTACCAGGATTTGCCCCAAGTAGAATTTAACCCCATCAGTAGCCCTCTGGATAATTTATATGTTACTTCAGGGGCAATGTAAAATTTAAGTAATGACCAGAGACTGCTCTTAGACTTTATTCTAAGAATTTTTCAAGGGAAAGTGAACTCTAGATTTCCTATTTGGAAAATTGGGTCTCTAAATCAAGCAAGATGGCTAACTTTAGCAATCAGGTTAATGTATTCATGGACCAAAGGTTATCCACTAGAACTGTGCTAAATTGTACAGCCTTACAAAATTTATAATTCAAATATATGCAGTTATGAATTCCATAACCAACAACTTTATATCTTCAATATGATCCACAAAAGAAGTGATTAAAAAAATAAAATTATTCATCAACTCTGACACGTCACACTAGTCAAGTGTGAGTAACCTCTCATAAAATGGAGTTTGTGAACTTTGCAGAAGGTTTTTCAAATACTGAACTGCAGAAGGTTTTTCAAATAGTCTTTTCTTAAAAAGTATACCAATATAGGTGTTTGCCATCACTAACAACCATGGCAGTTTTATGCTTCCTTGTTGGTACATATCAGAATGCTTGAAATTGTGTTGCCTGTACAAAAGATTCTTTGCATTTAGTTCACTTTTTTTTTCTGAGATGATGCAGTCCTTTATTTGCAAGTTTCAAGCCAGAAATTGAAACATTATTCTATACAAATAATTTCTTTCATCAATTGCTGGAAACGCATTACTTTATATATATATATATATATATATATATATATATATATAAAATTTAAAAAAAAAAAAAAAAGACTTCAATCTTTAGAGCATGCAGGAAGAACTTAGTGTATAAAAAACTGAGGTTTATGCTTCCATGAATTATTGTTTTCACAAGCAAGAAATTATTTTGATCATTCTATTGTATTATTGACATTTTTGTTTTTTATCAAAATTTTAAAAATCAGATTAGCAAACTTGTAAAATAATAATGTTAAAGCATTAATTAAAAAATGGATGGAGAGGGGATCAAATAAATTAAAAGGATGCCTGATAAATATTTTATAAAATATATATTTAAATTTATACACAAAGCAGTTGCAATGTGAATTGAAAATTTAAACAAAAAGCAGGATATTCAAGATCTAAAAAAATTCAAAATAATGTCAGCAAATTTGTTTTACTATTTCTATAATTATTTTTACTATAGTTATGTACTTTAAATTAATAAATAGTACAAATATTTTAATTTAAAAATTAGATCTGATTTTGTTTCAAATGATTGTTATAAGTAGACTCTGAACTGGTCAATAACAAGTGGCATGGTGGATGGGAGTCTTAAACGTAGGACCCTTCATGAGATCCTTCAAGGATCCTACCTAAAAAAAATTCATTAATTGCCAACAAAATGATCTTCCAAATATAAAGGACCTTGGTTGTTGAATAAAAACAAGTTGATATAATCGAATTGTATAAGAAATTAAAGTTATATTGAATATCTATAAAAAAAAATCCTAACTGATAAATATGTTGGCTAAGATAAACAATATAATTAAATACTGACAAAGAGAAATGATAACGAAAACGTAATTGTGGTTAAACAACGAAAATTTATATTTGCATAAATTAACCTAATTAATAGGTATACAGGTTGTCTCCCTTGAATATTTGCCAGCAAGTAGGTCAACATGGCGGCTTCCTTCATATTCTTTTAACGGAGACAATACGAAATGCTCATCTGGTAAACAAGACGTAATCCAGGATATGACAGTAATTTAATAAAACATTGTATTTAGACAACGAAAAAAATTATTGTATCAGATGTTAATTAAAAACTTCAGTCTAAAAAATAAAGTAAAACTGAAAAAACAATGATTGAAATTATAGCGATAGAATGGACTGTAAACTTAGAAATATATTAATTTGGTATTAGTTTTTGCTTATTTGGGACTTGTCGGTATTATTATGAATTGAACAATAGATGTCAACAAATAGTAATTTAAAAGTAGTCATTGAACGTAGCTTACTTTTGATACAAAGCTACATATACGGAGCATTAAAACTCATTTCTCAATATTTACAAAATTATGACGTTCTTAGAAATATATATATATATATATATATATATATATATAAGGAATTGTTTGCCATGTGGTGAAATACTTTTCTATTATCAATCACAAATATTTAGTCATCCATTTTGTTTATAACAAATACAATGTAAGCATGGGAGTTAACTCTTCCAATTAACCAAAGGAAGAATTTATTTTCTCAACCAAATTATTCTGGAATTTTATATCTACTGTGTGACTTTTATATTTAGAAATTAATAACAAAATAATTCATCACAGACAATAAATAAGCAAAATTTTTAAATTTTCAGATATTTTATATATTACAATTATACGTCTTTAATTTGGTTTCATTGTAAAAAATAATATTTCTACTTGTATAAAATGTGTAGCATTTTCCCATATCCACAACTGGATTTTGGTCAATTGAATTAATTTTCTATAGATTAACAACTTATAAACAAATATTTAAAATTATCTTTCACTAATGTCTATCACTTATTAGATTTTGTTTGTTTTCTGGTAAAAAAAAAAAAAAAAAAAAAAAATAGCATGATGAAAAAGACGCCAAACTTAACGAAAACAAAATTTTATTATCTAAATGTTTATTAAGAAGAAAGACCAAAGTTTTTTTAAATTATTTGGAAAAATTTTTTCCTTCTTTTTAGAACATTCTAAATTTTGATTAAAAAAAACCTTGTTTCTCTTTGTATCACCAGAAATAGTAAAATAGCATGTACAATTTTTAGCATGTTATTTTTTTTGTATGAGACACATTAATTTGTAAAATCTTGCAAAAATAAAAATAATTGTCAGATGTTAATGAAACTTTCAGAAACTATTTACAGATGATGGAAGGTTTTTTAATCAACATTTAGAATGTTCTAAAAGAAGGAAAAATTTTAAAAAATAATTAAAAAATACTTTGATCTTTCCTCTTAATAACATAAACATTTAGATGATAAAGTTTTGTTTTCGTCAAGTTTGGCATCTTTTTTGTCATGCTATGCTCTTTTTTAATGATCTCATGAAGGTACCTAACTAAAATAGGATTTCAACACTGATCACATTTTTTCAAAAGGTGGTTAATTATTACATGCAAATAAAATTTATATTTGTACAAATATTGCATACAGTGCTAAAAATCTTACCTGGTACATAAATATCAACTGGTATAACTCTATCACATCCACGTACTACAGCATAGGAATAATGGTAATAACCGCCTCCATTTGCACAGCTTCCCATTGAGATCACCCATCGAGGTTCTGGCATTTGATCATAAACCTGAAATATTAAACATTCTTATCTGTTGCAGTAAATGTCTTCAAATTGCAATGACAGGTTTCTTTTTTAATTCATATTTTGAGAAAAGCTAAATCAATCAAACTGAGTAAGCTGTATAATCTTTCATCATATAACTTTCAAAGATTTTTCACCAAATCTTTTTATTTGAATGAATTTGATCTTATTATTACATAATACTTGTAGTATGTCTTAATGTCGTTTGAATAAATCAACATATTCTTTTTAGAAATTGCTCATCTAGGATACATTCAATAAAAAACAAAAAAACAAAAAACAATTTGTTGAAGTAGATTTGATTTTTTTTACCTTTCGAAGAGCTGGTGCCATTTTATTAGTTAGAGTTCCTGCAACAATAATAACATCTGCTTGACGGGGACTAGCACGAAATACCACACCAAAACGATCCATATCGTATCTGGGTGCAGCAATGTGCATCATTTCTACTGCACAACAAGCTAAGCCAAAAGTCAGTGGCCATAGGGAACACTAAAATAAATTAAAAAAAACAAAACAATCAAATAATTCAGATTTTAAAAGTCAAAAACAAATTAAAGACAAATGATAAATACAGAAGATCAAAGAATATAAAAAGTAAATTAAAAGTTAGGCATACTAATCATTTAACTGATTCTTATAAAAGAATAAGTTTTCTTGATTATATCAGCCTGAGAAAGGACTTACATATTGGATAAGATTTATATTTATCACTGAAAAACAACCATTTATTTATTAAAGCCCTCATTTATTTTATCTAAATTGCTAATTTACATAAGACCAATTAGCTTAGCTTATTCTTCCTATTGTTAGAAGGGCTTATACAATATTCAAAAACCTGTTAAATAACTACTTAATTATGACTTACTTTATAACAGTATGTAACATTTATTTTTTTTTAAATGCGCTGATTCTACATCAAAATTGTTCTACTTAGGTAAGTTTGTAATTCATATGATAAAGCAAACTTGTCAAATAACAGCAGATTTTTTTCATTTCGAACTGCTTATTAGAAAAATATATAAAATAATTAAAAACAACAAAATGGCGTATGATATTTATGGTTGCCAAGTTAAAAACAAAAACATGTAAATATACTTATCTCCCACTTTATGAGAACAATTCGGTACACAAATTTGTGCCATAAATAAAACCATAATTAAAAAATGTAGTGGATTTTTGTTATTATTCGTGTGGTGATGTAGGAATGATCACAGACTTTTCATAAAAAGAAACTATCTAATCACATAGAAAAGTTTCAATTTTATATTATTAAAAAGAAAAAAATGGAGAAAAATCTTATATAAAAATTAATTTCTTACATTAAATAGGAATAATGTTTAAAGTAAGAGTTTATGCCTATACATAGAAAATAAGTTTCAAAATGTTTATTGCTAAAATTGGAATAAAACTTTCAGCATTTATTTATTGATTACTGAATTTATTCATGAAAAACCAAGTTTGTAAAAATTAAATAGAAATAAATTAAAATTAAATAAAAATTTTCTTCTAAAATCCCTAAAAAAAATTATCATGAATACTTTACAAAATAATTGATTGATTTGTTTCTTTTATAACTTGTTTTTTTTCCTCTCAAGTGAATATTAAGAATTTTTGAAAGATAATAATGATTTTCAGATACAAGTACTATTTAACCCATAGCTGAGGGAGAAGTAGATTCATACCTTTTCCAAGAATGTTTGTAAGTGAATGTAATGAACCTGAATGGAATTTGAACTCAGCTCTCCAATTTCTTATTCCAAGCTTTTATCCATTACACCACCTGCACATCCAAGCTTACAGCATCTGGTATTACGTACTGACCAAGTATGATATTGCTTAACTTGGAAGAGAAGTGATGTTTCAATATGATAAGGCTGTAAGCCTTAAATAAAATGAGAAGCTGCTAAACTTATTTTGCAGTGTTCAAGTTTGTAAAATAAATCATTCGTACTTATCATATGATAATTTCTTTTAAGATAAAGAAAATTTGTCTTGAAAATTATTTAAAAAATATATCAACATATGTAGTAATCAAAAAGTGATTAGATAAAATCTTCCTAGAGGGAAATCATAATAATTAAATGCAATCAATGATGAAAAAATGCCGAAAAACTTTTTGCTGTTAATAAAAAAAAAACCCAGATGAGATGTGTTTAATGGATATCAGAATTCATTGAAAAATACACCCCTACCCTCCCTAAACTTAAATTCTTTTTCGAACATTATGCACAATTGATACAACAATAGTTAATAAAAATGAACACGCTACTGCCCGTCTGAATGATTGGATTTCTCTGTATCCTTGGAAACAGTAAATTATGAATATATATGTGCGTTTAAAAATCAGTAAATTTAAAAATAAGTTATTCCAATATTTGCTTGAAGATGAAACGGAACTAATACTTTTAATTGAATTATATAATTAAATTTAAAGATTTTAGCTTCCATTTTTGAAACATGGTTATCACTGTGTAGCAAAAAAAAACATTTTCAATCAGTTAATTTATAATATTTATGCTCTGTAAATTTACATTGAGCACTGTTTTGTAAAAATAAAAAATATCAATAAGAACACTGGATTATATATCTTACTGTTCTTTCTTTTTTACACACACGTGTGTGTGTGTGTCATTTATGGTAATGTATTGTTAATGACTGAACTTTCAAAATTTCTCTTTGAACAATGCTCCATGATTGGGAACACAAATTGATAGCAATCAAATGAAGACATTATTTAAGAATAATCAACATTATTACAAAGCAGGTGGATGATAGACAATTTTTTTTTTTAAAAACATGAATTGGATTTTTATATCACACACTTATACTTTTAAGAATAACAAATTTAAAAAATTTTTTATTAATGTAATCAGGTTGCAAATTTAGAAGTCCTTCAGTCTTTTCAAGCTGGGTTATAAAATATCCAATTAGAATAGGTGTGATAAAATACACCTGTTGAATTAACTAAATTTTTAATTGCTGTATTCTTAGAAACTTAAACCTTCCAAGAAGGATACATCTCTGTAAAGTCATCCATAAATGTTATCTCCATTGAAAGGATTATAGACATTGTTGGGAATTTGATAAATATACAAAATTAAATAAATAAAAATACATTTTCAAATTCCATTCCTGTGCGAACATAGCAGTAAGCACACTATGTAACTTTCTCAACCAATGGAAACATGCCAAAAAAATATTAAATTTTGGCTTTCATTTGGAGCTACTGCTGGTCTTTATAAGAACAAGCCAAAAGCTCCACAAGATGACCTATAGCAAAGCACACATACATTACATTCACTTACTCCACACCCCGAATAAAATCCTTTCTCATTCAGGCACTTACAGAGAGTGACCAAAGTGGGATCAAATATTTATTTGAACACTTAACTGTCAAAAAGAAACTCCCTGAATTATTTCTATCTATGAATATATACAAATATTTTCACACCTACACACACACACAGATCTATGGACATTTGTTTAGTCAAACTTTATTTCTCCAGACTTTCTATAAATTCTCTCTAATCCTTCTCTGAGCTCCTTTTCTCCTTTACTTAATTGTCACCATTGCTGTTATTAAATTGTATTCAAATTTTCTTGACAATGTTGTTCTATCCTTCATTTTGGGTATGCAAAGGATTTTTCACACTTTCTTTCTCTCATCTGTTGTCCATCAAAATATCACTTTCTTTTTCCCCTATGTAAATGCCAACAACAAACTAAAATTGCACTTTCTTAAACTAAACCTAAACTTAACATTATGTATTGTATAAATTTCTGATTTAATTATCACTTGTTTTTGCCTTTTTGGCTGAACTTTCGGCACTTTCACTTGCAGACATTTTGAATAAAAACCTATCCAAAGAGGTTTGCTTTTGCTTGCTTTTTAAAATGTTATGGAAATACAATAAACAAGTGTCATTATAAAGTGCTGCAGCACAACCAGTTAAAGCTTTTGCTGGATATTTCTTATCAATGAATCTTGAAAGATTCTCCCACTCATACACCACTTTTATGTTTTTTTTTATTATTATTTCTTGCTTTACTTCTATTGAAATCATTCTCTTCTTCTCACCATTGTTCATTACACTCACTTTCTTTGGATTCATGATGGTACACAAAAACAAAAAAAAACAAAAAATCACTAATGTAATTAGAAATTGTAAAAATGACGCACAAACACGGACAACAAATGAGATACGTCTTTACTGTAGGGGTAACACTCGAGAAAGAACAAAAGGCTCATTGTATTGATGCTTCACCCATGCACCAGCTAGCAGCAGCTTCCTGAAGCACGACTCGTTTCTCAGAAATTAACTCGCATGTCAGTCAAAAAATGGCCTGAGCCACCACTCACATCTCAAAAAACTTGTATGTTAAGCTACTCGTATCTGAAAGTATCACTGTACTTGTGAAAACCTGATCAAGCAGATGATGTGATTTATTAAAAAATTAGAAGCATAACAATTGTTTGTAACTTTAACTGAAAAGGAAAAGTAATAATTTGAAAGAATGGAGAAAATTACCAACCTTTCTACCCCAATTCAACAAGTCATCAAGCCTAGCAAGAACAAAATCAACTTTATCACTTGGATTTTGAAAAGGTGAATATTTCTGACGTTTAACTGGGGCTGGAGCTGTACTCTGGTTACAGACAGGTACAACACTGCACAAAGAAAATACAAATTATGTGAATTATTGAGTGCGAGATGAATTAACAGATTTCATTTTGAAAGCAATGACATTCATTTAAAACAATTTAGCTTTTTAGAGGTCCAATCCATTTCTCAAAGTCTGATCAAACAGAATTATATCAAGAACTGAAAAGTTCTTGATATAATAAGCACTTTCTCATGTAAACAACAAAACTCTTAATCATTGCAGATATATTACACTGGTAATGTAGGTGAGTGCAAGTAATTTGTAGCAAGAGATCAGTATTTTATATGGTTAAAACTTTGATAAAGGAAAATATAAACAATAAAAAATAACTTTTCACCTTGGAGAAATAAATATCTGACACCTGAAAAGATTAAACAACTAAATTATAAGAGGAAAATAAATAAAATGGCAATTCTTATAGTATACAACTTTTCTATAATGTTCAAACAACTTTGCAATGCTCAACAGATTAACAGTTAAAAGTACAACAAATTTTGGTAGTAAAAGATTCAAATACTTTTATAGTAACCAGTTTTTAAGAGATGGGAAAAATCTAAATTCCAAACTATGCAGAAAACAATGAGAAAATCACTTCACTGAATTCAATTTGATGTCTTAAATATATTTCAAAATTTATCAATAAAATTTTTCTCACATCAAATTAAAGATAATTATGATTTTAAACATTACAGAAAAACTTGTTCCAGGTTATAGTAATTCATATAAAAAATCATCAGCTCATTGGAACAGAACATTAAATGTATCTTATGAGAAAAATTTGACAAGATTCAGTTTATATGAATTTTTTCTTTTATTTTTATTGATGTGTTATTAAAAGTCCTTATAAGTTTATACATCTTAATGAAATTAATAATAAAATCAACAGTGATTCTTTACTGCTCTTTCATTTATACCATTCAATCTAGTTAAGCATTGTCTATTAAAAAAATTTTTTCATTGCCCTTCTATCATGAACTTTTTAAATTCTCATGGACTTCAATGTTAACATTTATTTTTGGAAAAATAAATAACTGATTCACTTCTATTTATAGCTATTAATAATAAATATTTACATAAAGTTTCTAATAATACCCAATTATTCTATGTAAATTCTGTTACTTACCTTAATTGTTCTTGCTTTTCTTTTTTGCTTGTGTCTTTTGTCCATAATGTTTGATTTTGGTAAAGCAAGGGTGCTCTTTTAGTTGCCAAAGATAACAAGTTAAATTGCCCATTTAAACTAAGAACTGCAAGTAAATAGAAATTATATATATATATATATATATATATATATATATATATACACACACACACACACACAGATATAAAAAGATTTTCCTAAAGTGATTAAGCAATAAATGTTTCTTTTAGGTTGGCAAAGTTACAGCAAAAGGGATTTTCTTGTCTGAAAATATATTTAGTTCATATATTCGACAAGAGTAATCAAATTATTAATATTTGTCACAGACTGTGTTCCAGAATTGAATATGATGCATAGAATTTAAGAATCCATCTTTTATTGCCTCTTACATATTCCATCGAAACAGGAATTACACATGAAAAGTGAAACAAAAATTCTTTGACAAAAATAAGTTGACTATTTTTTTTAAAGAGTCATCTATTGTACAAGAAAATATATTGAGTTAAAACATGAAGAGAGAATCTGAGTAAGAAAGAAAATTTAATTTCATGTTAGAAATTTGCATTTTATTAAAAACTAACAGTATAACCCATCTTCAACCAGGTCTTTCTTACTGAGAATTTTTGCTGCTCAATTGGAACAGTTTAAAGTCAGCCCACCCAAAAATCAATATTAGTAACAACAATTGGGTACAACTGAGGCACATCCCCAAATGGGGGGGATTAATAATTTGAATGGAGGGGTGGCCCTGAAAAGGGCTGTTTTTGCATTCTCAATCTTATTTCAGCCTCATGTGCAGCAGCAGTTGAAGAGGCATTTCTCCTCAGCTGTTGAGCCCTTTGCTCATCATTTCCAGGCCATTTTTTTTTTTTATCATGCTATGCTCATTTTCTAAGTAATCTCATGCTGATACCTACATTGTATATATAATTAAGAAATCAGAGACTTCAGAAAACTGTGGTAATATTTTATTTCACAAAATCAAGACTGATTTCGCTTCATCAGACCAGACAGTTTGAAACAATGAATGGATTCAAAATTCTTCCAGGAACCAAACAGAAAATGAAAATTAACAGAAGTAGTGTTTTGAAATAGTTCCAACTATTGGGAAAGGAAAGGGAAGAGGTAAGTAGGAGGATATGTCTCTAGAAGATGAGATAGTTGTAGTGACCTCCGATTCACTGGACAGGAGAAGGGAGTGGAGATGAGTTTTCAAAGGGGAACAAAGAAAAAAGAAAGGAATAAAGGAGAAGAAAGGGAGAACTAGAGAGGAGAATCAGAATTTGGAATTGTAAGTTTGTATATATTTTAAGATTTATTTAGGAGTTGCCATATATATCCAAATAATTTTAAAAAAAAAGATGATTAATAAACTTAAAATAACTAATGAATTTTCAAAATAAAGTAAAATTTAAAGATGATCATTTAAAGTGAACAAAAACTAAAATAATCACAAAAACAAATGTCCGTAAGATCTGTATACATACATATTCCCACCCAAATCTAAATACATATACATCCACATACTTATAAACATATACACCTAAACACATAATATACAAAAAGTATATCTAGGTATAAGGTATCTATACCTCTATTTGTATAACCAAAAAAAAAAAAAAAAGGCCATTTATACACACCTACATTTAATATATACATACATACACACATTCTTACATATACACATATGTACCTACATCTATACACATATTTGCATCTATCTACACATGTTTACATGTGTTCACACACACACACACATGTATATTCATACTCACATATATATGTGCATCCATATACACATATATACATACTTTACGAGTACATGGTTAAATTTAGATACATGTAAGATATCCTCAAATATATCCCCTAACCATATAATTGTAAAGATGCACATAAGAGTGCTTCCCATTGAGTGTACCTAGACATACACTCAACAAGTAACATATACATATACCCATGAGAAAATACAACATACAGCACACGAATACACACCTCTTCCCATATACACATATGGATATACACGTGTTTGCATATACAAAATTACATACCCTAACACAAATATAAAAGCAAAGAAGTACAATAGTATGATTATACATACACATACATAAAGAGAGATGTGTAAGTAATAGATGCCCAGGTAAGAGAATCTTTTGTAAATTGAGGTCATATATGATGGAGGGAGGGAAATTACATGAAAGATCATAGATGAAAACTTTGACTATATGACTTCCCATCTATTAGCATTTTATGCATACAAAAGAATAAAACAAAATGTATCTATATATATATATATATATATATATATATATATATACACACACACACACACACAAACATGTACATACATAAATACATGTAAAACATCCAAAATTCCAAGTTTGAGTCATTTTCCCTTAAAACATGTTATTTTAGAAATCCGAAATGATTTTGTGCCAACATTTGAAGACAAATTCATTTCATTGGTTTAGTAATTCGGCAGTGTTTTCATATTTAATTATCATGATTTTTTTCTTTGATGCAAAAATCACATCTATCCCTGAAGTTGTTGGGAGTTCTCATTGAAATTCCAATGTAAACCTTTTTCTGGTTTACATTTTCCTTTGGAAAAATAACAGCTTCATATACCCACATTTTCTGAAATGCAAACAGCCATAACTCTAGTTACCAGGAGGTTTGTTCCCCTGTGACTCACTGTTGTGAAATTTTCTTAAGAGACAGTTGTTATGGGAATTATATTTTTTACATTACTAACACATGAGTATCTGATTTTTAAATATTTTTCTGTTGTAAATTTTCTTCAAAGGATTGCTATTATTAAAATGTCTGTCTACTAATTTAAGAAATATTTTCCAATATTGATATTGGATAACTTGCAGAAGGGTGGGTTAAACCATATTATCTTCCTTTTTCTATTGTTAGGTGCATTATTTTTCAGATCTTGCTGCTAATTCAGCTCTTGTGTAAAATTACTTTTTCTAAGAGCCTGATTATATGCAAATTTATTTTCATTAAAATTTTGCTGTTAGATGATAATTTGTTGATCCTGTTATTGGCAAGGTTAGGAATTTGTTTTAAAATTGATTTTGGGTGGTTAGAGTAGACATTGATATAGATGGTTTAATTTTCTTTATGAAAGGGTTTGAAAGTATCATCTGAAAGATTGAAGGTAATATCTAGGAAGTTAATGATTTTGAGGTTAGAAGATATATCAATTTTAAATCCCAGAAATTGAAAGGCATTTATGATCTTTTTTGTAAGTTGGAAGAAAGGAGATCATTATTATTTGGGATAACTATGAGTCTATTGCCTCTGTAAAAACCTACTTGGTTGTGGTTAATAATCCTATTGAGTGTGTCTAATATGTATATTCCTACTAAGTCAGCTATCCAAGTCATATGCTCTTATAGGAACATCAAAGTTATTATTGTTGCTTTTTATCCAGGAAGTGATGTTATACATTAATATAGACTATCTACATGCTACAATAACTTAATATAATTCTTAGCAAAGTCTAAGCTTTTAAGTAGTAGTTCTTCTGAAATGGAGGGGTAGAAGTTTATGATATCAAATTGAATAAATGTAGCATTTTTCTGTGATATTCCGGAACCATTTAATGGTGTCAGAAGAATCTTTCCAAAGATTGATAGAGTAGTTTTCTTGTACAGACAGTACTATTCTTTTTAGTATGTTTTTGGAAATTAAGCCCAATTCAGATTTGGAGGGATTTATTAATTGGGATTGTAGGTTGTTAGCAAAATTAGGTTTGTTTTTAAATGGTAAATAGGCATTTTTCACAAATTGTTCCCACTCTGACAGCTATATGAAATTTGTTGGCAAATTTGTCAGTGTCTTTATTTATTGAGGAAATAGTGTTATTGTAATTGTCATTTTTGCATGTATTAGTGATTTTGTTTAGGATTTGGTGATAATCTGAGGGTTTAATTTTGTAGATATTTTTAGATTTACCTGCTTTAATCCATAATTTCTGGGAATTTTTGATGTCTAGTGTCTTTTTTAATTTTGTCTTGGAATTGGTTAGATGTTTTCTTGAATGTGATTCTTTTAATTAGGTTGAATATATCAGTGAATTCTCTTGTCCAGTGAATTGGAAGTCACTACAACTATTTCATCTTCTAGAGACATATCCTTCTACTTACCTCTTCCCACCTTTTGGAACTATTTTAAAACCCAACTTCTGTTAATTTTTGTTTTCTGTTTAGTTCCTGGAAGAATTTTGAATCTATTCATTGTTTGAAACTGTCTGGTCTGATGAAATGAAATCAGTCTTGATTTTGCAAAATAAAGTATTACCATGGCTTTCTGAAGTCTTCAATTTCTTAATTATCATTTGCTCTGTTTTTACATTGACCTCTCTGGAATTGTCCATATGGATTACCAATTAACTTTATCATATTTTTATATATATATATATATATATATATATATATATATATATATATATATATAAAATAAATAAATCCTAATGAGCTAGGAACTACCTACCAAGGTTTCACCACATAGGATCATCAAGGTGAACTGCCTAAGGAGGAATTAATGAGGAACAAATTTATTGATAAAGTTATGGCTAAAACCTAAAATTAGCTTAAGCCTAAAATGATATAAAACACATGACTAAAAAAAAACAAAAAAAAACAAACCTTTATTCTAATTAAAAACTAAGTTAAAACCAAAATAGGCAAAATATTTTTTAAATTATAAGAAAAGAGTTTTCCCCCTGTCCAACACAAAGCAGTGCATTATTTGGGAACTGTCTGTGTCATGAGAGGAATATATTACACTAGCTAATGAGAGAAAGAGGTCCAAATACCAAGAACTTGTCGAACAATGTTGGTAGAAGTCGTGGAAGATATACTATGACCCCGTAGAAGTTGGTTGCAAGGGCTTTATTGGACAGATGCTGTGCAGAGTCCTAGCAAAAATAGGCATAGTGGGGGCAGTTAGGGTGAGAGCACTGAAGGACATTACCAACGCAGTTCTAACTGCGTCAAAATGTATTTGGCTTAAGAGATCAGAAGAAATAATGAGGACGATAAGGGAAATCTCAGAATCATAATTAGAAGACGTGTTACACGTTATAAGGGAATA